CCAACGGTTTTGTTCCATTTTACCCAGAAAGTTAGTAAAAAAGGTGCAGAAATGTAGCTTTAGTTACAGTATTTGACAGTGTTCTAAATACATGAGAAATGCTGTGAAAATACCATATAATATTCCAATTTTTTTCTAGGTAATTTGCTCAATATGTTATGGTCATGCAAGAAAAACAGGCCTGAAAACAAACCTGAATTTATCTGAGCTCCAGGGTTCGTAAGGTCATGAAAAACCTGGAAAAGTCATGGAATCCAGGTATTCAGGTACAGCAACTGTAATAAATATACATTACAAATATAGTTACAAAAGTTATTCAGTCAAGTAAAGCGAGTGAATGTTCTGTCTTTTGTTTGATTAATGCTATAGAGACTGCAGCAGAAATAGGTTACTGTCACTTTAAGAGCTGCACAGATCCAATATACTGTTACACATGTGTTTTCTTTCTCAACTGTTTATGTTCACTTAAGACATAACCTACTGTGTTTACGAGGATATTTTGAAATATTTTTGTGTGTATTTGTCCTTTCAAATGCAAAAAGACATGGAATTGGACTCAGTTCAGTATGACGCACTACATGGTATGAGAGCGGTGACTTCCTGTAAGCACGTCTTGCCTGTGTGTGTAACAGAGAAAACAGAACGCGAGCCTTCCTGACTTGAATGGTTTAAAATCAGATTAACATATTTTTTTCTGTGTGCGCACTTTGGATGTGTGTGCAGTACAGAAAACAGCGTGTGAGTCGTCTTGTGCTTGAATGCTCTCTCACCAGGTGAACAGGCATGCGCCACGGCATGGCATAGTTAGCATTTCGTTCCTCATAGTGTTCGCTAGAGGACGCAGCGTGAGTTCCCTAAAAGGGGAACGTCTCGGGTTGCGCATGTAACCATAGTTACATAATCACTAAATGCCCGAATGCTAAGAACTGTAATTTGTTTAGACAGTATTATCAATTAAACTCAGGACCTGGATTTCATTTTGGAAACAGTTTTGGTGGAAAACAGTAGTATTCAGGGGCAGAAATACTGCAGAAATGGAATAAACTGTAAATTAAAAACAGCAAATTCACTTCAAATTAAAAACATTAATCCTTAAAATTAAAGTTACAAAAGTTATTCAGTCAAGAGCAGTGAGTGATTTTGTCTTTTGTTGTTTGATTAACATTAATGACAGACCGCACCAGTGATACAATTGAAGGGGACGTGGGTACATGTTCCCCATACGTTTTGAAAATTTCCTCCTTTAGTTTAATGCTTTATTTTTGACTTGCACCGAAAGTTCATCATATGCATGTGTTTTTAAATCTTGCCAATTTAAGCATTCATGCGATGCTGTTTTCTGTGTGCACACACGCCCAAATCGCACGCACCAAGAGTCGCGTCTCAGACAGTGCACAAAGAATTAAGTTCACTTTTGCGTCTTTTCACGCTTGAATGGAAAAATGCACACTAAATTAAGTCAAAATGCCTGTTATGGCAAGTATCCTCGTAAGAGCAGTCTTAAATGAGTTTCATTTGTATTCTTTTGCTATTGCTAGTAATTTGTTAGTTTATTACTGACTGTTTACTTGTCTTTATGTTACATTATTTATTAAAATGCAAGGTTACATGAGTCAGAAACAATGAAAACAATAACTTTTTGAGGTGAACTTTTCTTGAGGTGTTTGCAAGGTGGCTTCATGTGCGCATGCTTTGGATGTGACTGTGAGCGCCCAGAAAACATCTCAGGTTACACATGTAACCATGGTTCCCTGAGACGGAATGAGACGCTGCGTCTTCTAGTGGACAATATAGGGACTGGCAGGATCCCTATCTGTCTGAAGCACATGTGAAACAACTCCAATCCTATTGGCCCTTATAGCCTGTGATGTCAGAGACGGGCACCCAGAAATATAAGAGGGCGCCTGCAGAACACGTCATCAACTTGGTTGTCTGAAGGAGACGTGAAACAGGCAGACCGAAGGCATGGCAAGGGGACATGGTGTCTCGTTCCCTCTCAGGGAACTTAAGTTCTCTGCATGGAGTAGGCTAATGGCTAGCAGTCTCAGCTTGTGCTTATTATTAAAAATAGAATGCAAACAAATAGCATTAATAATCATTAATTTTACTTAACATATACTATGATAAATCTGAACATTCGCATAAAATAATGGAGCATTGGGTCATGAATATTGCCTTAAAAGTCATAGAAATTTATTGGCAAAAATGTGTGCGACCCCTGCTCAGGGACAACTAGATTGTAGAGAGATTGTATTTGATGATTTTATATATTTATTTTAATACAGGAATAGTCCTGCTCAACAGCACTAAGAATTTTCCACTCGAACAATTACTGAATCCATCAAATTTTTATCCATTTGTGTATGACAGTTCTTTGAAAAAGAAACAAGAGTAATGGAAGATGTGCATCTCTTTACGTTCTTTCAAGATCTGAAACATCTGTAAAACACATTCATTCAGTCTGATGCATATCCACATACTTACCTAAAAGTGTAGCCGTCAGTCACACAGACTCCTGCATATTAAACTGCTGTGCAGTCACAACACCACAAACTCATCTGAGTGACATGTTGTCAAACACAGGCACTCAGAGATGAGGCAGCTCTTATCTACATAGCTGAGCTGCTGAATCAGCAGTGTGAAGCACTAGACTGAGCATGCTCTCAGGACTGACGCCTGGCCCTGGGTGGCAGTTGTTTTTCTCTGCAGGATGTTAGTCAGGGCCCCCGGAGGCAGGGTTATGGAACAGGCATGTCTACAAGAGCTTCGAGAGGAGTCCTGGGTGTCATAACACTGACTCATGACCCAGTACTGCAAGAGGCCACAGCATCACGCATACGTCCTTGTTGACTCAAAAGTGCAGTGTTGAGAGACGAGCCCATGAAATAACAATCACAGTATGAAAGATGAAAGCCATCCAATACTCCAGCTCTTGCCTTTCCTCAAGACTATCGGCATGATCTGAAACCACAGCACTTCTGCCAAGCAGCTGTTAAGGTCATAACCAAAGGAAACTTCAGAACAAACTAATGTAGTGCTTTCCAACATTGGGACCAATCTTTTTTTTTTAAATCTCTGAAAGACTGACTTTTGCTTTATTAAAAAGTGCTGTAATTTATTTTCCCAAATTTATTTTTTGGACACTTAATTTCATGTTAATTGCAATTAAACAGAAATGTATTCTGGCTTAAATTTATATTGAATGCAGTTAGCTGTTTTGGGATCTTAGACCTTACAAATCTTCTTTTTCACAAACTAATTTTCTAGAATGAATCAAACTTCCAGTGCTACTTATTGGAGAGATGGCTGTTTAATTAAGTGATTCACTTGAATGAATAATAGTTTCCAACACCACTTTTGAGAGAGGGAGTCATATAGAATGAACTGAATCATTCCACTAGAATGAATCAAGCTTTTCAATGATTTCTGAATGCTGAAAATGCTGAAGGCGTGTTTGATTATCACAGATCTCTTAACAGTGTTGCATGTGCCGTACATTGTGATCACCAATTCATTTAGTTTGCTACTGCTCAACACTGTGAAGAATCACACCTATACAGCAAGCAAAGAGTCAGATGGGTGGGCAGCTCCGCAGTTAGCCAATCAGAAACACTCTCTACCTGTCAGTCAGTCATTTTGTGTTTAGTTGTATGTTGTGTTTTGGATGTTGGGTTCCCACCAGGCTTCCTAACTAACTTAACCAGTAAGACTACCATGGCCGAATACCTGTATTATGGTACTAATGCCACACAAGGGTAGTGAAATGACTGTAACCGTGCTACTAGTCAGAAGGACCTTTATTGTCCGAGCCACTAGTCTGTTCCTCATTAGCAGTGTGTAGATTGTCCTTATCTCTCCTTATTTCCTCAAGACCTCGGCACCCTTGACTGGTAATAAGGGCTTCTCTTTTTCACGCTTGACCTTTTTCGCTGACCCTGAATATAAGCTGCTAAGCGCTAATTTCATTATCAGGTGAAAGGTCATGATACCTGTGCTCTGCGGGCCCTGCTCTAATCAGCCACTGTGTAATAGTAAGTGTCCAGTTACACCCCTGTCTCTGATGCTAATGGCTGCGCTTGGGGTCATAGGGCAAAGATCAGGGGTCAGGTCAGAGGCCTGGGAACTTGGGGCGATGCAGATCTATGCAGGAAAGCGGGTCAACCCAGATGGTGAGATGTATACTTTTGCTCTCGCAGCCATCTGATGATTATGAAAATCGAGCAAAATTAGATTAGCACATGGTGAGGGACCACAATTTATATGTGTGTGAATTGGATCTAAATCAAGGTCTTTAGGGGTTTTCAGCTTAATATGTCATGAATGTGAATGTATACACTACCGTTCAAAAGTTTTTTTGTTTTTTTTGAGAGAAGTCTCTTATGCTCACCAAGGCTGTATTTATTTGATAAGCAATTCAGTAAAACTGTAATATTATGAAAGATTATTGCAATAAACAGTTGTTTTAAAATGTAATTTATTCCTATGACAGCAAAGCTGAATTTTCATCAGCATCATTACTCCACTCTTCAGTGTCACACGATCATTCAGAAATCATTCTAATATTCTTTGCAAAATAAAACATTGCTAGCTCTTTATAATAACTTTCATTTATAAATAATTTACAGACATTATATAATGCTTAACAGATCATTAGTTAATATATATTCAAATAGCTAGAAATATGAGATGATGTTCTTGTTAATGTTTACTAATGAACAATTAAAAGTTGAAACTATTCATCATTTGTAAATGTTTATAAACTATTACTAATCATTTAGTATCTTTATGGGCATTATGTAGCGAGGTTTGTGTGAAGGATGGCTGGTTACGTTTAGCTAAATGCTTGCTAAAGACATAACAGATTGTAATTTTGGTGCTTTTTTTTTTATTGCCTCAACACTCACATTAGTATACTACTCTTTAGTATATCATTAAACAGGATATTCCTTGAATCATAAATAAACAGGAGAAAACAAATCATGTTTTTTAAAAGAAAATACTTGTTCATTTATCAAAACAATATAATATAAACAGATTGAGCAGTGTTCCCTTATAATAAACAAACTGACCCCTGTACACTGTTGACCCTTAACCAACCTTTAAACCTACCCATACCACCAAACCTGGCCCTGAGCTTACCCGGATCACACCTCAGTAGCAGCAGCAGTGTTGTGCATTAACACAAGCTTTTAATAATTTTATAACATCTGTTAAAATCATTTGTAGATTTTCATTAAGTGCTTGAACATATGGAATTAAAAGTTTATTGACATTTGTAAGCATTTTAACTTGCATGAAATAATGATTTGTTAAATGTTTAATACGTTTATTAGAAAACATTAACAAGCACATTATCTCATATCTATAGCTATGTGAATATTTATTAACTAATGATCCATTAAGCATTATATAATGTTTGTTAATGATTTATTAATGAAAGTTATTATAAAGTGTTACCAAAACATTTAAAAGAACAGCATTGATTTAAAATATAAAACTTTTGTACCATTATAAAATCTCTTTACTGTCACTTTTGATCTGCTGTCGATCACCACCAGCATTAACACTGAAAATGTTCAAATAAGACTGATAAAATTAATTTCTGATAAAAAATGCAAACAAACAAACAAACGTGTATATTCACTGCAGTTCAAACGTTTTATTTTTTTAAGAAGTCTCTTCTGCTCACCAAGGCTGCATTTATTAAACCAAAAATACTGAAAAAACAGTAATAGTGTGAAATATTATTACAATTTAAAATAACGGTTTTCTATTTTAATATACATTCAAAATAGAAATCCTTTCTAACAATACCAGTCTTTACTTCGGCACCATTTTTTATTAATCAATTTAACACATCCTTGCTGAATAAAAAACTATTAATTTCTTTCAAAAAAGAAAAAAAGGAAAAAAAAATAATGGACCCCAAACGTTTGAATGGTATTTCTATTATTTATTTTAAAATAAATGCTGTTCTTTTTAACTTTATTTATCAAGGAATCACAGGTACAGGTT